AGGCGTGGTGTGGACGCATATGAAGGCCAATCTGATAGTGTGGAAGACTGGAGACGGTGTTTGAATTCGCCCGATTCATTGGTAGTCGCAAATGGCATCGGAGTAGTGGCGAGGATCGGTGAAGTTGGGAGCGCCCACTTCCGCGTCGCTAAAAGATGTGGCAGAGGAGGGTTAGTGAGATTTGAAGGTTTAAAATTTTTGCGTTTACGGTGAATTGGGAATTTGAATTCGATTATGTTATGGGGGAAAATCAGTACGTCACATGCTATACCTTCGTGACTTGCAGATTATTCTCTTTCTAATGAAGTTTTTTCGTCTCTTGAATCCTCCAAGCATTTAGCTGCTGGGTTAAATTCATGTGATCATCCATCCCATCCCATCATTCCACGAAAATCTCCAAAAAGTTATTTTCAAATTTTTGCATTGAAATCTTTCCAGCAATCACTTGCGACTTTGCGAGGCTAAACCCTGTAAATGATGCACTTAAGTGTTCCTTAAGAACCGAGAAAATCGAATTATATTTTGCAGCAAATGGACAGGAAAAGGCTCAGCAACATCTTTCATCTTCGTTTACAGGCCAAAGGACAACGCTCCCATTGGCCGATTTTAATTATTCACAATAAGGCATAAAATAACAAACAAAATATCGATTTATTTGAAAGTTATTAGCAGTTCATTCGGTGAAGTACCGTTCTGAGGGCAAAGGCCTAGACCATCGAAAACTCTACCCTAGGATTACTTTGAATTACTGACTGACGCAATAGATAGGTCGGTTAATCTTTTTTAATCCCAAGGATAGCAATTAGTAATAAAAAGTAGTTTGTTTGTTTGTTGACGTTTACTAACAACGTTTCTATTTTTTGACAGCAGAGCATCAGGAAGGCATGAGAGGTGCAGTCAATTCAACGCCATGTAAGTTTATTTCTCTTCTTTTTACCTCTTTTCTCCATTCTAAGTAGTTGCAATAAATGGTCCTTTTTCTTACTTCCACGCAAAACTACTCCGCATTGCACATTTCAGGCAAAGACTGCTCCCCATGTCCAATTGAGGAATACTTCCAAGCAAATCTTTTCGAAGAATCAGGTGAAATTTATACCATTAGTTTGATGTTTAGATTGCTGTCCGCAAGATCAGACAATAGTTATAGAGAGGGATAGTCTAAACTATACCCAACGGATTAGATTTGACGATGCATTTTATTCGAGCGACCTCTATCCTTCCGTAAGAGTTGCAACCATCCTACATGTTAAATTTGTTGTTCCCATATAATGTTCGCCACAAATGATATCCAATTTTTAGTGTTCGTACGCTGAAATGGACAAAGATGACGAAAATGTGAAACATTTTAATCCCAATGGACTTTTGCGAACCGGCATCTGTTTTGGCTTTCGACAGATAGTCATTGGAACACTTCTAAGGGTATTGAAAAACGGAAAAGAATTGCTGATGTTTTCCTCCTTCGGATATAAATATTGCATTCACAATTTCTTTTGTCCTTGAAGGTACAGTTTCCATCGAATGCTTCAAATGAAGCCTTGCACCTAGCTGTAACTTACGCAGACCGATTCATATGGACACAAGAAACAAATCCTTTAGGGTATGGGTCAATGGCCCATGGAGCTCTGTGGCTAGCGGTTAAGGTCTTGACCCCGGAGACACCTGTTACATGTCCATTAATGGAAGCCATGACTTCGGGATACCTCACTGTGGAAGAGGTCGGTGCGAGGTCTCCTACGACCTATCCCCACCACTTCCAATCTGGTCACAATCCTCACAACTGAACTCACCTTTTTAGATAGAAGAGTGGGCAGAGTATCTGCGACTCAACCTTGGGCCCGATCTTCACTATCCCACTCCACACTCCTACCTTGATAAATTCTTGAAGGAGAGCTGTGACCTCCCAGCCTACCATATCAAACTGGTAACCTTCATTTAGAGGTGTTAAAATTTGTATATGAATCCTAAATCTCCAACAAAACTCAATTTTCCCCTCAGATAATTAGAGTTTGTCATTATCTACTTGACCTGGGCCTAATGGAGCACGATTTGGGAAGACGACCGGCGTATTTGCGGTGTGCAGGAATGATCTACTTCCTTCGCCGTCTCCTTCGGTTCACGGGCCATGTTTTAGGTGGATCACCCTCCCAGCATGAATACACGGCATTGAGTTATTGGCCGTTGGAGTTGGAGAGGTGTTCCGGGTGCAAAGAGGATGAAAATCTCAAAGAAGTTGCCTCCACCTATGGTAGATTACTGGAGGAAACCAAGAAGTACCAACAACAATGCGCACAATCTCCTCTCGTTTTCATGGTAATTTTGTGCCTACACTTGATAATAACGTCATTGTATCGAGCTTCAGTCGACTTAACTGCTGAAAATGCCCACTACCTTCCAGTAGTCAATGAATAAGATGCATTCTGGCATGTGGGAAAGCATGGTTACCATTACCGATCAGTGATTGATATCCTACTTGCATTCAGCCCATAGTTGAAAAATATCTGGACCGTGTGTACGGTGGAGTGGCAGCTCATCCACTCGTGACGGACTTCGAGCTAGAAAAGGTCATGTGTCCAAATGAAGAGGAATGAATGAGTACTCCTCCAACCATGTTACAGTACGTAAAAGGACTGTGTATGGCTGCCTTTTGGTACAGTCAAAGTGAAAGAGGACCCTGCATCTCTTCAGTAGTACCTAGAAAATTAGGTACAACTTTTACTCAAAATTAATTTAATTTAAATAAATCTCTTACCAAACGTGTAACCTACACTTCCGGTAGTGATCCAGGTACTGCAGCAGAGAAATGTCCACGAACCATTCCATACCTCCACATTATTAACTGTCCTACTGACAGGACAAAACCAGCTGCAGAAGCACTTTTGCCCCTGTTTCATACACTCGATTCAACACATTGCATATTCAAGGCCTATAGGTTCTGTTTATTTCGAATCTTGTTCTCATCTTGACGTGTTGAAAATGATCCCTCCCACCACCACGTAGACGGCATGTTGCTCTCTTGATCTTCAATTAACCCGAATGAACACCAAGAAGAGCAGGGAGTGACACTGAAACCTAGGCCTTGGAACTATCTCTATGAGGTAAATAGCCAGGGCTCTAAGAGATCTGATGACACCAAAAGTTAATCGACACAATAAAGCCGCCAATTAATTCCTTGAAAGCACAGTTCAACCTAGGATGAGAATTTCAGAGTTCGGTCACTTCCTGTGACGTGAGACGCAAGCGATTTCAGCGATTGGTAAACTTAGTGGCTCTGATGATCCTCAGCCCACTGTCACCTGTGGATTAAGCAGGCCACAAAATTGCACGCAGAATTCAAAAGAAGGGTGAGGAACAACTCTCCCTAAGCAATAAAGGAGTGTGTATTATTAAACCAATTTCACACAGCACCATAGCATAAGTCGCGATTATGCGAATAGCGAGGCGACAAAGTGAATAAGACATTCAAGCCCCAGATAATGACTGCCCGAAATAAGGAAAGGTGCGGGCGAGAAAAGTGCATATCCCCTTTGGTTTCACCGATCTTTGCGTGACTCCCCGCTACTTGCCTTCGCCTTCAGTGAGCCATGTGGTACAGGGTGAGCCCTTTCTAAAAGGAGATCATATATATTAAAAGAGTCTCCTCACTCCAAACGACCATAAATAATTCACAGCAATTTCTAATTAAAGAAAGTTAGTGCCTCATTCCAATGTATCCCAGAAACCCACACTGGGAGGAATCTTTACGCAAACCTTTGGCAACGAAAGCCAAATAATGACAACTCCGGAGAGCGAATTTACAACGGGGAATACTAGAGACGAGACGGTACTTTGTGACATTCCTAAGCAGGGACGTGACTCCGCCAAGTCCATACAGAATTTCCTGTTCAGCATGATAGAACGAATTACTTAATGCAGGGACACTAGGCCAGAGAACTTCAACAACGTCTAGCGGGGAAATTCGTCTTCGAAAAGCCTATTAAAAAGTCAATTGACGCAGCATGAAGTGCTGCATATTCCCTCAAATACAATTAATCTCCAATACTGTTTTGAAACGTTATAACGATGCTGGCCTCCGGTATCCGTCACAACCAACGCCTACCATCTTGAAGAGCGGTGGTTGCACCATGTCGGCCTTTCAAATTTAGGCGCTTGCTCTCGCTAGAGTACGGAAGTGAAGTTCAAAGCCTCAATCCAATTTCAACGTTCCTCACACCGTATGAATATGAATTCGAACATACCAGCAAACCTGCTGTAGATGGATCTGGCTCTGATAGTGTCTTCGTAAGTTGCGGATGTGAGTTGAGCTTCCAAGAATTTGCGGTCTAGCAGGCGTGCTCGTCTAGCTTCGCTAGCCGCGGCTGAGTCATATTCGGCATCGTCCAGAGCGTCAAAAGGACTGCAACATATGCAATACACCAAACAGGAGAGGCAGGCCAATGGAATTCCAAACGTAACCAAGGCCACAAGAGGAGATGCCTTGATCAGGTTCTAAAACCCAAAAGTGTGTATATGCGAGAAAAGGCATATAGACTGATCATCTGAACCCAACAAAACTTGCCAAAGAGGCGCTGTAGAAGTCAAAGCCAAATCGTTGGATTGAGATAGACCATCCACTTCCACCATAGTGCTGAAATGACAATAAAGGGGGTTTGAAGTTCCACTGAAAGAATGGTTGACAAGTGGGAGGCGCATCAACTCCGAAAAAGCGAGTTTACAGTCAAATCCTCCACTGCAGTAAGTTAATCAGATAGACCTCCAAAATGCATCCAATAAAATGTATCATAAATTCGTTCGGTCATCACATCCTCGTCTTACATCGCATTAAAGCAAAATATGAGGAGTTCCAGCTAAA